TGCTCCTCCAGGCTATGTAAGTTGAGCAAACAGCAGCAGTTGCCTTGCAGCCTGGCTTCTTGAGAATAGTTTTCCCTTTGACCCTGAGACATGGGGCAGTGTGCCTGGAACCCCTCCCTCCTGCACAGCCCACAGTAGGCACATTATACCACTGGCAGCAGATGTGCTTTCTAACAGGTAGAAAAAATGGTCTTCTTTGCTTGTGAGAGTTCTCATAAGATCCAACCACAGCCAGGGCCATGTTTGTCACTCCTGGAGCCTTGGCTGGTCTTTCTCTGGGCAGAGAACATTTCTCTCACACCTAAGTTAGGACCTGCATCCCTGTTTGGGAACATGTGGAAGCCAGGCATCCCAGGTTCAGGAAGTCATCCCACTTCCTGGGTGATGCTACGCCAGACGAGGGCCTGTCCTGCAGTGAGACTGCCCAGTTGTTAACATGAAACAAGTTTCATGGCAAGTAAGCCGGGGTCAGCCCAGCACTGAAACCCAAGTCTGCCTGCACCAACTCTCTTCTTCCTACTGCCTTGCTCAGTTTCCTGCTACCTCTGGTGGAATGTGAGGGGAGGATATGCTCTAAAGTGACTTGGGGTTGGGGAGTGTCACATCTCTCTGGGTCCCTGTCTTTTAGGTTCCAATGTGTGTTCCAAGTGCTGCCAAAGTGCCTCAGCCCAGAGACACCCCTGCCTAGCGTGCTGCTAGCTGTTGAGCTCCTTTCCCTTCTGGCGGACCATGAAGAGCTGGTGCCTCAGCTCTGTTCCCATTCAGGTAAAGCAGGGCAGGTTGGGCATCTGGACTGCTCCTGCAGATCAGGGGAGGGGTTGGGGTGGGGACAGGGTCAAGGGCCTCGGATGGCTTCTGCAGCGTGTCGCCCAGGCTCTGCCTGAGAAAGGGCACCCTGAGAGACAGGTGGGCTGTCCTTTTCAGAAGGCTGCCTCCTGCTGCTGCTGTACCTGTACATCACATCACGGCCTGACAGAGTGGCCTCGGAGACACAGTGGCTCGAGCTAGAACAAGAGGTAAAAACTTCAGAGCCCCTTCTGGACACTGTCCCCAACCCCATCCCATCCTAAGAACCGACAGAATCTCCTTTCTTTCCTCTGGGGAGAAAGGGAGCTTTAATTCATTTTAGTAACAAGAGTTTATCAAGCAGCGAAAGAGGTAAACTCAGTTTGGGGTCTGTGTATTACACAGATGCAATCCAGGTGGGACTTGGCAGAGTTGCCTGATGACTGATCCTGTCCTGGCTTTGGGGGCTGGGGGCAGGTGGGTTGCTGGTGAGACATGGGTGCTCGTCCTGAGTGTGGCCTGGGAAGGTCCCACACCACTTCTTGGACCCCATTTGTGCAGACAAGCAGTTGCTGAAGCAATTGAACTCTTGGAGAAGCTTGAGAAAACCTTTGTGGGGACTAGTCTCCTTCTGCCCAGGATGGAACCAATCTGTTCTTGTTCTAGGTGGTGTGGCTCCTGGCTAAGCTTGGTGTGCAGAGCCCCTTGCCCCCAGTCACTGGCTCCAACTGCCAGTGTAATGTGGAGGTGAGTGGGCAGGGGCCAACAGCTGGCAGCTCTGTGGGTGGTAAGGGGCCCTGTGCAAGGACTATAGGCCCCACTGCAAACCCCCTCACCTGAGGTGGTAAGGCTGAGCAGATTGTCAGGGTGCAGGCCATGGTGACACCAGACCGTCTGAGCCCCCTCTCTCCCAGGTGGTCAGAGCGCTCACGGTGATGTTGCACAGACAGTGGCTGACAGGTGCGGAGGGCAGGGGGGCCCCCAAGGACCGACCAGCAAAGGCGGACAGTGCGCTGTCTGCGGGACACGGTGCTGCTGCTGCACGGCCTGTCCCAGAAGGACAAGCTCTTCATGATGCACTGCGTGGAGGTCCTGCATCAGTATGACCAGGTGATGCCGGGGGTCAGCATGCTCATCCGAGGGCTTCCTGACGTGACCGACTGTGAAGGTGAGCCTGCCAGAGGCCCTCCCGCCCAGCCCCCATGGCTTCTCCCTGGGATTCCCCAATGAGTCAGCTTCCTGGGCCCCTCCCACTGCAGCTTTTTCTGGCACTGGGGCCATTTTCTTTATCTTCCTGCCCCAGTTCTTCTCCAAGCATATTGGACGGCCTTTTGCTCCTATCTGTTGAATGTGCCTGGCAGAGCCATGGTTTTTCTGGAAATACCCATGTCTGAATTGCCTTTGTATCACTTTGTTTGCAGTAGCTGAGGGAGCAAGGCCTGGGTATGGAAGGGACTGGTTAGTTCCTGTGGACATTGTGGGAGAAGAGGTGGGACCTGCCTGAGGCCCTGGCACCTTCGGGCCCTCACCATGGAACCCTCTCCTTTTTGTGTCAGAGGCAGCCCTGGACGACCTCTGTGCCGCAGAGACCGATGTGGACGACCCCGAGATGGAGTGTGGCTGAGGCCGCGAGCATCCAGCCACATGGTGGCGCCAGCACCACTCCTTTCCTCACCACATCAACCGATTAAAGCGGTGCCCGGCAGGAACTGCCCAGAGAACCTGGCCGGCCTTGTTTTCCTGAGTCTGATCTGTTTGGCAGAGAGGGAGGGGTGAAGCGGGACTGCGACCCTGAGAGGCTAGGATCCTTCTTCCTGTCCCGGCTGCCGCTGAGCCCCAGTCCCCATGGTAACTGATCTGCCTTGAGGAAGGAGCCCTGCCCGGCATGTGGAATTGTCCTGAGTCATTGCTTTGGGCTGGAGCCATGGGAAGAAACCATTGTGTGGGAGGGAAAGAGGTGGTCCTTGGCCCAAGCCCAAACCAGGAAAGCATGGGAAAGTGGGACTCAGGTGGCCACCAAAGGGCCCAGGCAGGGGCTCCGAGCAGTGTGTAAGACGCAGAGCTGGCCTGGCGCCACTGCCCTGGTCCTTCCACCTGCCTGTCACTGGTGTGAGGGCCCTGGTGCATTGTGCCACCAGCAGGCCACAGCTGTGGATATGGGAAGGCCTCTGGGGTCTTCAGGGGCAGGGGGTGTCTAGGGGGATGGATGTTGGTGAGGGACAGGCCAGGCAGGCTGATGAGCAGGGCGGGCCTGTCTCACGTGGCCCTGTGGGCGGGCCCATGTTGTTTCACTTCCCGCCACTGCTGCCAGTGAGAGCTGAGGGAGAGTGCAGCCGAGTCACTGCTGCCTGCCTGCTGTGGTGAGTGTGACCCCCAAGGGGATGGGACAGTGCAAGAAGGCCATGGGTTCCCCCACCCCAGGCTAAGGGGGCACTAGGGGAGGGACCAAATCTTGTGAAGAGGGAGCTCGCTCTCGGACAGTCCAATGTGCTGATCGCACTAAGGAAACCACCCCACCCTCTCCAACTTCCTGCCTGAAAATGGGCCCTGACAGGGCAGGATTGTCCAAGGAAGGCTGAGATGTGCTTCTGCCTACCCCTACCCCACTCCATCCCCTTCAGATCTTAACACTGGGCACTTACCCACCCCATGCTCCTCCCCAGGCTCAGCGGCAGGTACCTACCCAACCATGGGCTCGCAGGCCCTGCCCCTGAGGCCCATGCAGACCCTCATCTTCTTCGACATGGAGGCCACTGGTTTGCCTTTCTCCCAGCCCAAGGTCACGGAGCTGTGCCTGCTGGCTGTCCACAGATGTGCCCTGGAGAACCCCCCTACGTCTCAGGGGCCACCTCCCATAGTTCCTCCACCACCACGTGTGGTGGACAAGCTTTCCCTGTGTGTGGCTCCCGGGAAGACCTGCAGCCCTGCAGCCATCGAGATCACAGGTCTGAGCGCAGCTGTGCTGGCAGCACATGGGCGTCAGTGTTTTGATGACAACCTGGCCAACCTGCTTCTAGCCTTCCTGCAGCGCCAGCCACAGCCCTGGTGCCTGGTGGCACACAATGGGGACCGCTACGACTTCCCCCTACTCCAAGCAGAGCTGGCTATGCTGGGCCTCACCAGTGCTCTGGATGGTGCCTTCTGTGTAGATAGCATCACTGCACTGAAGGCCCTGGAACGAGCGGGCAGCCCCTCAGAGCACGGCCCAAGGAAGAGCTACAGCCTGGGCAGCATCTACACACGCCTGTATGGGAAGCCCCCTCCGGACTCACACACGGCTGAGGGCGATGTCCTGGCCCTGCTCAGTATCTGTCAGTGGAGACCACAGGCCCTGCTGCGGTGGGTGGATGCTCATGCCAAGCCCTTCAGCACCATCAGGCCCATGTATGAGGTCACAGCCTCTGCTAGGACCAAGCCAAGACCATCTGCCGTCACAGCCACTCTACACCTGGCCACAACCAGCAACGCTAGTCCCAGCCTTGAAGGGAGCAGGAGACCCAAGGATCTTCCTCCAGTGAAGGACTCTGAAGCCCCACCTAGGGAGGGGCTGCTGGTCCCACTGGGTTTGCTGGCTGTCCTGACCTTGGCAGTAGCCACATTGTATGGACTATTCCTGGCCGCACCTGGGGAGTAGGTCAAGAAGGAAAATCTGAAGAATAAAGATCCCCGCCATAGCACTGAGTGGTCACTTGCCTCCTACCCTTCTTGGCAGCCCAGACCGCTGCCCACACCCAGGTTCCTGGGGAGGAGGGCATAGTGTTTGTCTCTCACTTTCTGTAGCAGGATGGTCAACTATCTGAGACAGATGAAAGTAGGGAAAACGGCCGGGCGCGGTGGCTCAAGCCTGTAATTGCAGCACTTTGGGAGGCCGAGGCAGGTGGATCACGAGGTCAAGAGATCGAGACCATCCTGGTCAACATGGTCTCTACTAAAAATACAAAAAAATTAGTTGGGCATGGTGGCACGTGCCTGTAATCCCAGCTACTCAGGAGGCTGAGGCAGGAGAATTGCTTGAACCCAGGAGGCGGAGGTTGCGGTGAGCCGAGATCGCACCATTGCACTCCAGCCTGGGTAACGAGCGAAACTCCGTCTCATCTCAAAAAAAAAAGAGAAAAGAAAGTAGGGAAAACACAGAGAAGCCCAAATGGTGGATGGAAACAGTACAGCCTGATTCCAATCCCAGCAGCCAAGGCCAGAAGAAAGGGGGCAGCAACTCCAAACGATTGCATTTATTATAAACACAGGTGCAGATCCTAGACTCTCAGAAACACAACAGATACGAAGCTAAGACAGCTCTGGTGAAACTAGTAGACGAAGAGGAACACCGAGGTATTCATGTCTGGGCCAGAGCTGCCATCCAGCACCCCACACCCCACCTTTGGTCCAGGTGGCCGGTTGGCCAGGTGTCCCTGCTGCCAGAACACACTGGACTGGGGTACAGGAGTTGCATATTCCATGAGCTGGTGTCAGGGGAAGCAGGGACTCTCACAGTTGCCAGGTTGTCCCTCTCCTCCGAGCCAATTTCCCTCCACAACCCAGGGGTTTCAGCCTCATATCACTATCATGTTCAAAACAGAAAACAGGCAAAATGTTTGGCTAAAATAAAATGAAAACTGCAGCGAAGAGACCTGAGTGTGCTGGTGGACAGGCTGCCCTGCTCACCTGCAGGAAGGGCAGGGCCAGCGAGGGCGGGAGAGCTCCCTGTGGGCAGCTAGGCTGTGTGTGCCATGTGGCCCTCCGGTGGTCCCAGGGAGGACACAGGGTGTCAGGTAGTAGGACTCTGCCGGAGGTGTTCTGGCATCAAGAGGCTGCCTGACCCCTAATGGGCATGACACAGGCCCCAGGGAGCAATGGACATCTGCCGAGAGGATCAAAGCCCAACTTGGTCAGATCTCAAGCTACACCTGCATCAGGTTTCTGACGCTGCAAAGGGTACCTCCAACTCTGGGGACAAGCCATGGCCTCGAGCAGCAGCTGGCTACACTGCTGAAACCAGGACACGTCTGCATCATACAGCTGCTTCATCCTGGTGTGATAGGCCATACTTGGTCACCCTAGGGTAAGCTGGAAAAGAACTCCAGATGTGCCCTGGAGAGCCCCCCACCTCTGAGGGGCCACCTCACAGGGTACCCCCACCACCCCATTCTTTGAGTTTGGCTTGAGATTTTTAAGAAGCATAATTTCAGGTGAGGAAGACAGCAAAGTCTGGTCCCAGCCCACTCTGGCAAGGATTGTTCTTCCCCTCGTCAGCATGAGAGAAAGCCACATATACAGGCAGGACACACACAGCACGCATGGGGCGTAGGGAACCGTGCCTGCACACCACTCATACACACACAACAAAACCAAGTAGCAGCCAGAGAGGCCAGGGCATGCTCAGAGGGCCGCCTTCGGGGCATCCATGTAGGCCGGGTTGTAAGGAGGCTGGCTGGCAGAGTAGGGTGCCGCTGCTCCTCCTGAAAGCAGAGAGGACCCTGGTTGGCTGTGAGCATGGTGGGCTGCCATGTGAGTGGCAGGCAAGCAGAAAGGAGCAGAGGCCTATTCAGCGATGTATTCTGGGATGGGTGCCTGAGGGGTGCTGGCAGGGACTCAGGAATTCAGGCAGGGCTAGAGTGGGCAGGGGCACTCACCAGCCAGGGTCTCGTGGTAGGCCGGCGGGCCCATTGGCTGGGCTGGGTAAGGCGGTGGGTACTGCATTGGGTAGGGTGCTGCTGGCATCCCTGGCTGAGGGGGCATGGCGTGGTAGCCCTGGTAGCTCGGTCCAGGGTAGCTGGGCGGCACACTTGGAGGCTGAGGGTAAGGGGCATGCACCACAGTGGTGGACGTGGTGGTGGTGACAACCGCTGCAAAGAGAATTCCAGTCAGGACCCTCCTCCACCTCCCTAGGTCTTGAGGGCCAGGCTTGCCACCCATCCCTCCAGCTTAGCCAAAGTAGGGCCTGGTCAACTCCCCTTGCCACCCGAAGGGGTCAGTGGGGCAGGGTGGGCATGCTTACGACGCGGTCGGCGGCACGTCTTGTACAGGCAGCAGCAGGAGCAGGTGAAACAGACGATGATAGTGACGACAGACAGCACAAAGACTGGTCAGGCCAACGGCCAAAGTCGCTCCGAACCTGCCAAAGACCTGGATGTGACCCGGAGCCCCTCCCGAGACTAGCATCCACACTCCACCCGCTCCCAAGCACACCCTTCTTGTCAGAAGGGGTCTGAGCAATGCAGATACAGCTACTCCCTTGTCAGTGGCCTGCACCTGTTTCAGTGTGCTTCCTCGTGTATAAACTGGGGTATGTGCGAGTCTCTGTAACCGTCTCACCCTGGGTCTGACCCACTTGTCCCACCCTCAGAGGCTTGGGAGGGGGTTCTTCAAGCCCCACCCACAAACACATACATCTATTATGTGCACCGCACAACCAGCTGATCAGCACATGGGCATTGGACATATGCCACAAGCCAGGCACTGTGATTTCAGCCAAAAAACTTAACAGTGAGCAAGACAGCCAGCCCTGGCCTCTGGGAGCCCACAGTCCAGTGTAGGAGGAGGCAGACAGTGAAGATAAAATGGCTCAGGAAGCACGAGGTGAAGAGATGGAGAAGCCCCAGGAGGGCAGAGGCCAGTGTGGCCAAAACAGCAGGCCCCCAGTGGTCCCTGAGGCCACTCCACGACAGCCCTAGGGCAGGGAGGCTGGCCCCCAAGTGATGAGGACAGCTGCCTCTGCCTGCAAGCTTGCTGTGTGCCATGCACTGTGGCAGGGGTCACACAAACCCCTGGGTCCCCCACCTCTGACCTACACGGCCCTTTCCACAGGTGAGAGGGCCAAGAGCCAAGGGGCGGACACGAAGGCCTGCGGCAGGAGACCAGAGCGCTTGCCCTTTGAGAAGGCGGGCCCTGAGCCGGGACATTCACCAAAACTGATTTCCAAACGCAGACAGAGGCCCTTCCTAGCCGCCCTGCCCAGGCCAAGCTTCATTCTTTTGTTTTCTATTTTTTTTTTTTTTTTTAAGGAGTCTTGCTCTTTAGCCCGGGATGGAGTACAATGGCGCAATCTCGGCTCATGGCAACCTCTGCCTCCCAGGTCCCAATTCAAGCAATTCTCCTGCCTCATACTCCAGAATGGCTGGGATTACAGGCACATGCCACCATGCCCAGATAACTTTCGTATTTTTAGTAGAGACAGGGTTTTACCATGTTGGCCAGGTTTGAATTCCTGACCTCATGATCTGGCCCCCTCAGCCTCCCAAAGTGCTGGGACAACAGATGTGAGCCACTACACCCAGGCTTTTTCTTTTTTCTTTTTGACATGGGGTCTCACTCTGTCGCCCAGGCTGAAGTGCAGAGGCATGATCACAGTCCACTGGACCTTCCACCTTCCAGGTTCAAGTGACTCTCCCACCTCAACCTTCCCAGTAGCTGGAAACACAGGCATGTACTACCACATTTATTTTTGTAGACAGGGGTCTCACTAGTTACTTAGCTGGTCTGGAACTTCTGGCCTCAAGCAATCTTCCCGCCTTGGCCTCTCAAAGTGCTGGGATTAAAACTGTCAGCATGCTGCCGGCGCAGTGGCTCAGGCCTATAATCCCAGCACTTTGGGAGGCCGAGGCCGGGTGGATGACAAGGTCAAGAGATCAAGACCATCCTGGTCAACATGGTGAAACCCCTTCTCTACTAAAAATGCAAAAAATTAGCTGGGCATGGTGGCACGTGCCTGTAATCCCAGCTACTCAGGAGGCTGAGGCGGGAGAATTGCCTGAACCCGGGAGGCGGAGGTTGTGGTGAGCCGAGACGGCACCATTGCACTCCAGCCTGGGTAACAAGAGCGAAACTCCATCTCAAAAACAAAACAAAACAAAAAAAAACTGTCAGCATGACCAGGTGCGGTGGCTCACGTGTGTAATCCCAGCATTTTGAGAGGCCGAGGCAGGCAGATCACGAGGTCAGGAGTTCGAGACCAGCCTGACCAATATGGTGAAACCCCATCTCTAATAAAAATACAAAATTAGCTGGGTGCAGTAGCTCACGCCTTTAATTCCAGCACTTTGGAAGGCCAAGGCGGGCAGATCACAAGGTCAGGAGATGAAGATCATCCTGGCTAACACAGTGAAACCCCATTTCTACTAAAAATACAAAAATCAACCAGGCATGGTGGCACAAGCCCGTATTCCAGGCTACTTGGGAGGCTAAGGCAAGAGAATCACTTGATCTAAGAGGTGGAGGTTGCAGGGAGCTGAGATCTCGCCACTACACTCCAGCCTGAGTGACAAAGGGAGACTCAGTCTCAAAAAATTAAAAAATAAAATCAATATGTCAGGCATAGTGGCTCATGTCTGTAATCCTAACAGTTTGGGAGGCCGAGGCGGGCAGATGGCCTGAGGTCATAAGTTTGAGACAAGCTGGGCAACATGTTGAAACCCGGTCTCTACTAAAATAAAAAATAAAAAAAAGAATTAGCTGGCGAGGTGGCACATATCCGTAATCCCAGCTACTCTGGAGGCTCAGGCAGGAGAATCGCTTGAACCCAGGAGGTGGAGGTTGCAGTGAGCCAAGATAGGGCCACTGAACTCCAGCCTGGGCAACAGAGTGAGACTCTGTCTCCAAAAAAAATTTTTTAAGTTTTTTAAAAGGTGTCAGCCACCATGCCCAACCCAAGCTTTATTCTAACAAAAGGCAAATACTTGTTAACTGCCTCAAACACATTGAAAAACTGTAAGAGCTTTGTTAGCCGCACGGCATTCCCCCAACCTCCACCCCAAGAGGCCCAAGGTGGGTGTGGGTCCCACCATACCCCGTCCTGGGGCCGCAAGACTTCCGCAGGGCCCCACAGCACAGCCTAGGGACACAGCTAAAGGCTCCAGGCACAAAAGCACCCCTCAGGACTCTCAAAAGCAGGAGCCATCAGCCCCACGCCATCCAGGACAAGGCCCTAACACAGGACCCAGCAGACCACAGATGTCTTCCTGCCCGGCCAGAGGCAGGAATGGAGAAACGCAGGCACAGTCACATGGCATCAGTGACACAAGACCGCAAGGCGGTTAGCATCCCTCCAGAGCTATCTCGGCGTCTGTCTCTCACACCTCACACACACACAGCATGGCGCCCAAGCTCACCCCATGTTAGCCTCTGCCTTCACCCAGAGGCCTCCTGTTCCCCTGGACTTCCCCTCTTTCCATCCTGGGCCACTCAGTTTCAATTTCCTCCCCTTTTGGAGAAAAGGAAAGCAAATTTCCTCCAGATGACGTCAGCCACAGGAAGGACCAACGCGAGGCCCGTTCCACCCTCTTAAAGACACAGGATGGCCCCGCCAGCAGCCAGCCAACAGCCAAGGAGCCAAGGGGTGGGGGCCACGGAGGAGGGGAAGCAGAGGAACCCCAGCTGCCTCCCAGAGCTGCCTTTCTGAGCTGAGCCTGCGGGGCCGGCCTCGGAATGCAGCCTGGCCACTAGGGGGTCTGAGAGCCACCCCAGCCTCTGTGGGCCCCAACCACACTCTAGCTCAGCAGCATCCCCACCCCTGCTTCCACCTAACCCACTGGCCCATTCCACCAACCTGCAGGAGGAGCTTCTGCACCCATCTAGCCCAGAGGGCGACCCTGGGGCCCTGGCTGACACAGGAGCAAGGAGCAAAGTCCAGCCTATCCCTTCAGCTCCTCCTCTCCCACCAGCACTCCCTCCAATCTGTCTCCCCCTGTTCTCCCGGCCACCCTGCTGGGGCCACCATGCAGGGTCCATCATGTCACCCCCTGCTCAAATGCCTGCTATGGCTCCTGTAGCTCTTGGGATTACAAAGGAATTCGCTTTATAATTACATGCTAAACCGAGTGTGTGTATCTGTGCTTTCCTGTACATATAGTTGACAAAAGAAAAAGAAAAGAGGCCATGTAAAGTGGCCCACACCTGTAATCTCAGCACTTTGACAAGCCAAGACTTTTGGGAGACTTGAGCCCAGGAGTTCGAGACCAGCCTGGGCAACATGGCAAAACTCTGTCTCTACCTACCAAAAAATACAAAAATTAGCCAAGCATGGGTGGCATGCACCTGTGATCCCAGTTACTCAGGAGGCTTACTCCAAACCTGGGAGACTGAGTGAGAATCTGTCTTAAAAAAAAAAAAAAAAAGAAAAGAAAAGAAAAGAAAAATCTGGGCTGTATCTCACCAGACAGTAAAACTTACAATAAAGGAAATTTTAATTTTTTTTTTTTGAGACAGGGTCTCACTCTGTTGCCCAGGCTGGAGTACAGTGGCATGATCACAGCTCACTGCAGCCTCTACCTCCCAGGTGATCCTCCCACCTCAGCCCCCCAAGTAGCTGGGACCACAGGCATGCACCACTACACTTGGCTAATTTTTTAAATTTTCTGTAGAGACAGGGTCTCACTGTGTGTAGAGAGGGTCTCACGGTGTTGTCCAGGATAAACTTTAATTTTTAATTAAAATTTTAATTTTTTTTTTTTTTTTTTTTTTTTTGAGACGGAGTTTCGCTCTTGTTGCCCAGGCTGGAGTGCAATGGCGCGATCTCGGCTCACCGCAACCTCCGCCTCCTGGGTTCAGGCAATTCTCCTGCCTCAGCCTCCTGAGTAGCTGAGATTACAGGCACACGCCACCATGCCCAGCTAATTTTTAGTATTTTTAGTAGAGACGGGGTTTCACCATGTTGACCAGGATGGTCTCGATCTCTTGACCTCGTGATCCACCCGCCTCGGCCTCCCAAAGTGCTGGGATTACAGGCTTGAGCCACCGCGCCCGGCCTAAATTTTAATTTTTTACTTAATTTTATTTTTTTGAGACAGAGTCTTTCTCTGTCACCCAGGCTGAAATGCAGTGGTGTGATCTCAGCTCACTGCAGCCTCTGCCTCCTGGATTCAAGCGATTCTCATGCCTCAGGCTCCCAAATAGCTGGGACTACAGGTGGGCACCACCTCGCCTGGCTAATTTTTGTCTTTTTAGTAAAGATGGGGTTTCACTATGTTGCCCAGGCTAGTCTCGAACTCCTGACCTCAGGTGATCTGCCTGCCTTGGCCTCCCAAAGTGCTAGGATTACAGGAATGAGCCACTGCACCCAGTCTTTCAGATTATGAGACTGATGCACGGTCTACTGCGCTAAGGAGGCAGGCAGGCAGGCAGCCAGTCTTCAATTAAAACTTTAAATAAGACTCCCTAGTAGGCCCACAAAGCTGTGTGTGGTCTGGGATTGCTGCCCTCTTTCAACCTTTGTGCTCAGTCCCATCCCCCTCCTTTCAGCTTTGAAAGCACCAAGCTATCACGGTCAGGAGTTCAAGACCAGCCTGTTCAATATGGTGAAACCCCATTTCTACTAAAAAATACAAAAATTAGCCAGGTGTGGTGGCTACTCGGGAGGCTGAGCCGGGAGAATAGCTTGAATCCAGGAGGTGGAGGTTTCGGTGAGCTGAGATTGTGCCATTGCACTCCAGCCTGGGCAACAGAGCAAGACCCCATCTCAAAACAAACAAACAAAAAAAAGGCTGGTCCGAAGGTAGTGAGTTATCTCAATTGATTGTTCACAGTCAGTTACAGAACTGCTTGTTCTACTCTTTCCCCGCTTCTCACTACTGCACTTGACTAGTCTTAAAAAAAAAAAAAAATAGGGCCGGGCGCGGTGGCTCAAGCCTGTAATCCCAGTGCTTTGGGAGGCTGAGGTGGGTGGATCATGAGGTCAAGAGATCGAGACCATCTGGTCAACATGGTGAAACCCCGTCTCTACTAAAAACACAAAAAATTAGCTGGGCATGGTGGCTTGTGCCTGTAATCCCAGCTACTCAGGAGGCTGAGGCAGGAGAATTGCCTGAACCCAGGAGGTGGAGGTTGCGGTGAGCCAAGATCGTGCCATTGCACTCCAGCCTGGGTAACAAGAGTGAAACTCCGTCTCAAAAAAAATAAAAATAAAATAAAATAAAAATAATTTAAAAATTAGCCAGGCATAGTGGCACATGCCTGTAATCCCAGCTACCCAGGAGACTAAGGCATGAGAATCACTTGAACCCAGAAGACAGAGGTTGCAGTGAGCTGAGATCATGCCACTGCACTCCAGCCTGAGCAACAAGAGTGAGACTGTCTCAAAAAAAAAAAAAATGTAGCCCAGAGGCAAGGGTCCCAAAATGAGGAGAAGAGGGTGGGTCAGTGGCAGGGAATGGGGCAGAGCTGGGGTGGGGCCCCTGGCCCAGGGTCTTTCCCCTGCCTGGCTTCTCCTGAGCTCCTGGCCACAGCCTCGACAGCAGGGGCCAGGCCCTCACCAAGGAGCCAACTCTCCAGTGGACAAACAGTGCCCTTGGCCAAGGAGGCAGCACACAGATGCCCAGCAGAGAATGTCTCCTTGGGACCCAGACAGGCAGCCACCAGAGAGTGTTCAAGAGGAGCACTGATGACCCTGCCTCCCTCCCTCCTCCCAGCACCCACTTCTCTCACCCCTGCACCTTTATAAAGCACGTCCTATGCATGAATTGGGGCTCAGAACCAAGCAGAGGACAAGAGTGGGCATGAGGCGTGGGAGGGGAGCATTACTCCAGTCACCTGCTCTTCTCAGTGCATGGGCTAAACAGCCTGGGGTAGGAGGCATCAGGGCACACCAAGCACACAGTACACGAGGCCCAGTTCTGTACACACCGTGGTGGCAGCCGGGCCAACAGAACAGGTCCCACACGCACACCCTGGAGAGGCAGAGGTGCTTCTCACCTGGCCCCAGTCACCTCCCTGCTGCCACAGCGCAGGAAGCCACTCCTCCTCCTATGTCCCTCTCAGAGCTTGTTCCGCGCTGTCTCCTCCCTGCTGTCCCAGCTCAAATCTCCGCCATTGGAAAAAAGCACAAAAAACTCTTCATATGGATTCTCCAACTCCTTTGTTTTTGAGATGGGGTCTCACTCTGTCGCCCAGACTAGAGTACAGTGGTGTGATCTCGGCTCACTGCAACCTCCGCCTCCTAGATTCAAGTGATTCTCCTGCCTCAGCCTCCCAAGGCGCCACCTCACCCAACTAATTTTTGTGTTTTTAGTAGCAACGGGGTTTCACCATGTTGGCCAGGCTGGTCTTGAACTCCTGGCCTCAGGTGATCCACCCACCTCAGCCTACAAGAGTGCTGGGATTATAGGCATGAGACACCACCTCCAGCCTCCCTTAAAAAACAAAAGAAAAGAAAATAAAAGAAAAAAACAGGGTCTTGCTATGGCGCCCAGGCTGGAGTGCAGGGATTGTTCCCAGGCAGGCTCAGAGCTCACTGAAGCCCCGAACTCCTGGCCTCCAGCGTTCCTCCTGCCTCAGCCTCCCAAGTAGCTGGGACTACAGGCATGTGCCACTGTGCCTCACTTCAGTGCCTGTCTCATTCCTCATCCATTCACAGCCAAAACTCTCCATGGAGTTTCCTGCTACCAGCATACGATTTCCAACCACTCTTCAATCAGCTCCACTGCCTGGCTCTTGCCCAGGGTGCCACGGACTCCGTGGTGTGAAATCTCCATTCCACAGCGCACTTCACCCCAAGCCTGCCCTCGTCCGCGTCCATCCAACGTCCCCACACAGGGCTGGGCGTCAGCCCCATCTCCAGAGCAGAGCCCTGGGCAGCCCCTGCTCCTTCCCACCGCCTCCCTCCCCTCCCTCCAGGCAGCTGCTGTGCACGCCCTCCATCCTCACCTCTCCCCGCCAAGCCCTGGCTCTCTCTGGCCTGTCCAGCCTTTAGCCAGGAAGCCGCCTGAGGCCACCTCCTATAGAAATGACCTCCCACCTGCCACACCCACCCCATCTGCTCTCTCCGTTCTCCACAGAGCAGCCAGTGTGGCCTTCCTAAAACACCACTCAGTCCCCAGGGCTCCCAGAACCCTCCATGATGCCCTCTGTCCTCAGGATAAGGCCCACACGGGCTGGGCGTAGGCATCTCCCACGGGCAATGTGAGAGCCCACGATCCTGGCCCTTGGGGCAGGACGCGGAGCGGGAGGCCTGTAGAGGTCTCAGACTCCAGCCAGCCCTGAGGTTGACGAGAGGTACCGCCGCTCTTCTTCCCCTCCTCCACATGCAGGAGCCCTGCCCTGATCCTGCCGTGGCCAGCGAGGCCCCCACCTGCCTGGGCCTACGGGTGCAAAGGGGCAAAACAGGAGCCTAAGCTCTCCCCACTCCCCAGGCCCAGAGCCCAAGGTCTCTTCCGCCAAAGGGGCAACCCTGCCCTCCCGGGCAGACCTTTTCTTGAAAGTGGCTTCTGGATCCACCAGGGCAGGGGGCAGACAGCAAGTGGAACAGACCCAGCCAGGAAAGCCCGCCCACACCCTTTGCATCCCCAGGAAGACGCCACAATACCTGTTACAGTGGCAACAACCCAGGCCGGAGCCCGGCCAAGGGGACTGGGGCTTGACGGCTGGGTTGCCCCCTGGTTCCCTGAGAGGAGAGCCCTGGCACAGTGACCATGACCCACAAAGTTCCACACAAACTGTGGCATCATCGGTTGTCCCAGGACCTCTCCCCACCGTTGTCACCCCATCGCCATCACGATTGTCACCAATGCCCAATTGCAATACACCCACCCCCATCTACCATCATCCCCTGCCCACCACAGCCCATTTCCTGTCACTCCTGCCCCCATCGGGACCCATCAGTCAGCTGCTGACCCAACCCAGCATCTAGGTCAATATGACCCCAACCCCTGGCCCTTCAAATGTCAACCTGTGACCACAGTGGCCCACGTCCCCACCACCCTAGTATACTATGAAGACACCTTCACAACATAAGAGCAAGCATCCTTGTGGTCAGATACGGTGACAGTTTCTTGGGCTCCACCCCAATAACCGAATCATCCCAGTTCCCTAAATACACACTGGTCCCCCTGAGCCCCTTTGTCACCTCTGCCAGGATGATGCCCCCAGCCTGAAGGCTTTCCTTACCCTGACATGGGGTCGTCGTAGCCAGGGCGAAACCTCAGCGCCGAGCCCAGCTGCTCCACCGGTTCTACATCAGCAGGCACACTGCAAACAGGAAACCTCGTGATTAACACAATGAAGCCCCACCGAGCGTGCCAGCACAAACACTACCTGAGGGCACCACAAACTGTGCACAGAAGCCACCATGAGCCAGTGGCTGCAGTGGCCTTCCAGAGGGCAACTCTGCCCACACCAGGATCTCAGAGTCACATATCCTCAGCTGTCCACTGGACTGTCCCCAGGAGAGAACGTATGTTAGGCGGTAAAACAAGTCTCAGCAGATTTTAGAAGACAGATACCATATAAACTACCTTCTCTCACCACAATAGGATGAAGTCAGAAATCAGTAACATTGCCACAAAGTTAAAAAACAATTACTAAAAAAAAAAATCTCTTACCTTGGGAAACTAAGAAGGTACAAAAAAAAGCAAAGTAAAACCAAAACCTCTTGAATTATATTGTGGTAAATAAGAAATCATAAAGGATATTCAGCTGGCAGGGGAGACACCATGATCACAAAGAAGTCATGAAGAAAATCAACAAATATGTAGAACTGGATACTGACAACACATCAAAATTCATGAAACACAGATAAAACAGGGTTTTTGTTTTTGTTTTTGTTTTTGTTTTTGAGATGGAGTTTCGCTCTTGTTACCCAGGCTGGAGTGCAATGGCGCGATCTCGGCTCACCGCAACCTCCGCCTCCTGGGCTCAGGCAATTCTCCTGTCTTGGCCTCCTGAGTAGCTGGGATTACAGGCACGCGCCACCATGCCCAGCTAATTTTTTGTATTTTTAGTAAAGACGGGGTTTCACTATGTTGACCAGGATGGTCTTGATCTCTCGACCTCGTGATCCACCCGCCTCGGCCTCCCAAAGTGCTGGGATTACAGGCTTGAGCCACCGCGCCCGGCAAAACAGGGGTTTTTGTTTGTTTGTTTGTTTTTGGTCTCCAAAGTACTTGGATTACAGGCATGAGCCACCATGCCTGGCAGCTATTCTATTTTTGCACTTACCTTTATTAATTTTTTCCTTGTTTTTTTTTTTTTGGTTTTCCATTACTTTTTTTTTTTTGAGACGGAGTTTCGCTCTTGTTACCCAGGCTGGAGTAATGGCATGATCTCGGCTCACCGCAACCTCCACCTTCTGGGTTCAGGCAATTCTCCTGCCTCAGCCTCCTGAGTAGCTGGGATTACAGGCACGCGCCACCATGCCCAGCTAATTTTTTGTATTTTTAGTAGAGACGGGGTTTCACCATGTTGACCAGGATGGTCTCGATCTCTTGACCTTGTGATCCACCCGCCTTGGCCTCCCAAAGTGCTGGGATTACAGGCTTGAGCACCGCGCCCGGCCTTTTTTTTTTTTTTTAAGATGGGGTTTCACCATGTTGGTCAGGCTGGTCTTGAACTCCTGACCTCAGTTGATCTGCCCGCCTTAGCCTCCAAAGTGCTTGGATTACAGGTGTGAGCCACCCCGCCCAGCTGGTTTTCCATTAGTTTTAAAAAGCCTTCTTGAGTTTAATATCATCTTACTTATTAATTATTATAATTATTATTTGAGACAGAGTCTCTCTCTTGTTGGCCAGGCTGGAGTACAGTGGTGCAATCTCGGCTCACTGCAGTCTCTGCCTCCCAGGTTCAAGTGATTCTCCTGCCTCAGCCTCCTGAGTAGCAGGGACTACAGGTGTGTGCCACCACACCTGGCTAATTTTTGTATTTTTAGTAGTGACGGAGTTTCACCACATTGGCCAGGCTGGTCTCAAACTTCTAACCTTGTGATCTGCCCACCTCACCTCCCGAAATGTTGGGATTACAGGTGTGAGCTACTGCACCTGGCCTCATCTATTTTTAGTGATTCCTATTTCCTGATAAATTCTATTAAAGATACAAATTTCCCTCTAAGAACTATTTTATCGGCCGGGTGTGGTGGCTCACGCCTGTAATCCAAGCACTTTGGATGCCAAGGCGGGCAGATCACCTGAGGTCGGGAATTCAAGACCAGCCTGACCAACACGGTGAAACCCAGTCTTTTAAAAAAAAAAAAAAAATAGAACAGCCATAGAGAATAATAGAGAAGATTAGCATTGGTTTAAAGCTGACAGACGGCCGGCGCGGTGGCTCAAGCCTGTAATCCCAGCACTTTGGGAGGCCGAGGCGGGTGGAGCACAAGGTCGAGAGATCGAGACCATCCTCGTCAATATGGTGAAACCCCGTCTCTACTAAAAATACAAAAAATTAGCTGGGCATGGTGGTGCATGCCTGTAATCCCAGCTACTCAGGAGGCTGAGGCAGGAGAATTGCCTGAACCCAGAAGGTGGAGGTTGCGGTGAGCCGAGATCGCGCCATTGCACTCCAGCCTGGGTAACAAGAGCGAAACTCCGTCTCAAAAAAAAAAAAAAAAAGCTGACAGACCTCTGACAAGACTAAGCACAAAAAAGGAAGGCAGCCAAGGGCAGTGGCACATGCCTACAGTCCCAGCTACTCAGGAGGCTCAAGTAGGAGGATTGCTTGAGCCCAGGAGTTCCAGGCTGCAGTGAGCTGTCATCACGCCACGGCACTCCAAGCTGGGCAATAGAGTGAGACCCTGTCTCAAAAACAGTAAATCAATAAAATAACATAATAACCTTGTTTGGATTCTGATTTGGACAAACCATCTGTGAAAAGGCATTTTGGAAACTAGCGGAGGCAACTAACTGAACACGGTATTGAAAGCTATCAGTGAATTACTGTTAATTGTGCCAAATATAATAGTGGTTACATTTCCCTAATAATGGAAAGGAAACAACAGTTATATATTTCCCTTCAAGGACCTCATTTTTATCATTGAAAACTCCCCGGTTTTTGTTTGTTTGTTTGATTTTGTTTTGTTTTGTTTGAGACAGGGTCTCATCTGTCACCCAGGCTGGAGTGCAGTGGTGTGATCACAGCTCACTACAGCCATGCTCTCCCAGGCTCAAGTGATCCTCCCATCTTGGCCTCCTGAGTAGCTGGAACTACAGGCACATGCCACCACATCTAGCTACTTTTTTGAATTTTTTGTAGAGATAAGGTCTCACTATGTTGCCCAGGTTGGTCTGAAACTCCTAGACTCAAGTGATCTTCCCACCTCAGCTTCCCAAAGTGCTGGGATTACAGTTGTGAGCCACTGCACCCAGCCAAATACTAACATTTAAAGAGCACACCCCCGCCAACTTTTTTTTTTTTTTTTTTTTTTTGAGACAGGGTCTCCCTTTGCCCTCCATGCTGGAGTGCAGTGGTATGATCTTGAAGCACTGTATCCTCCACTTCCTGAGTTCAAGCGATTCTTCTGCCTCAGCCTCCCAAGTAGCTGGGACTACAGGCATGCACCACCAAGCCCGGCCAATTTTTGTATTTTTAGTAAAGGCAGGGTTTCACCATGTTGGCCAGGCTGGTCTCGAACTCCTGACCTCAGGTGATCTGCCCACCTAAGCCTCCTAGAGTGCTGGGATTACAGGCCTGAGTCACCACACCAGGCCCTAGGAGAACTTTTTATAATGTCTGGGATTTGCTTTAAAATAATTCAGAGGCCAGCGTGGTGGCTCAGGCCTACGTAATCCAAGCACTTTGAAGGCCAAGGTGGGTGGACCACCTGAGGTCAGGAGTTCAAGACCAGCCTGATCAACATGGTGAAACCCCTTCTTTAAAAAAAAAAAAAATAGGGCCGGGCACAGTGGCTCACGCCTATAATCCCAGCACTTTGGGAGGCTGAGGTGGGCAAATCACGAAGTCAAGAGATCGAAACCATCCTGGCCAACATGATGAAACCCCCTCTCTACTAAAAATACAAAAAAATTAGCTGGGCGTGGTGGCGCACGCCTGTAGTCCCAGCTACTCGGGAGGCCAAGGTAGGAGAATTGCTTGAACCCAGGAGGCGGAGGTTGCAGTGAGCCAAGGTCGCGCCACTGCACTCCAGCCTGGTGTCTGGTGACAGAGTGAGACTCTGTCTCAAAATAAATAAATAAATAAATAAATAAATAAATAAATAAATAAAATGATTCAGAAAAATAAAAGTGGTGGGAGGCATATAGGACTATGATGTCAGAGTATTGGTAACTGTGGTAGTGGGTGACAGATGCATGGAGTTATCATATTGTTCTCTCTGCTTTTGTACTTATTTGAAACTTTCCAAAATTAGATGTAAAACGAAATAAAAGTTAAAAGCATTATAAACAATCACATCCTAAATACACTTGAAGGAAAACCAGTAAAGCTGAGGAGAAAATATTTTTTAAGAAATCTGTGGGTCAGGCATGGTGATTCACACCTGTAATCCCAGCACTTTGGGAGGCCGAGGCAGGCAAATTACGAGGTCGGGAGTTTGAGACCATCCTGGCCAATATGGTGAAACCCCATCACTATTAAATATATATATACAAAAATCAGCCGGGTGTGGTAGTGCTCTCACTACAGTCCCAGCTACTCAGGAGGCTGAGGCAGAAGAATCGCTTGAACCCAGGAGGCGGAGGTTGCAGTGAGCCAATATCGTGCCACTGCACTCCAGCCTGGGTGACAGAGCAAGACTCCACCTCAAAAAAAAAAAAAGAGCCGGGCACGGTGGCTCAAGCCTGTAATCCCAGCACTTTGGGAGGCCGAGGCGGGTGGATCACGAGATCAAGAGATGGAGACCATACTGGTCAACATGGTGAAACCCCATCTCTACTAAAAATACAAAAAATTAGCTGGACACGGTGGCGCATGCCTGTAGTCCCAGCTACTCATGAGTCAGAGACAAGAGAACTGCTTGAACCCGGGAGGTAGATGTTGCAGTGAGCCAAGACTGTGCTACTGCATTCCAGCCTGGGGACAGATCAAGATTTTGTCTTAAAAAAAAAAGTGGCCAGGTGCAACGGCTCATGCCTACATTTGGGAGGCTGAGGCTAGAGAATTGCTTGAGCCCAGGAGTTCGAGACCAGCCTGAGCAACACAGTGAGACTCCTTCTCTATAAAAATACAGGCTGGGCGCTGTGGCTCACGCCTGTAATCCTAGCACTTTGGGAGGCCGAGGTGGGTAGATCACCTGAGGTCAG